TGGCTGTTCAGAGCATGGGAACAAACATGAAGGTTGGAAGAACAAGGACCACAGCTTAGTCACCATGTCAGCTGGCCTGAGGGCGATCACCCCACCGCTGAGCCCTGAGCCTTGTGGAGGGAGGGAGTGAAAGTGTGAGAAAATGAAGGATGCCAGTCCCACACCCAGCCCATCACCATAAAAAGAGGGATGCTTTCCAGGGGTGCAAGCTTGTCAACTGATATCTGATCCTCTCCTCACCCCTTTACTTGTCCTCACCTGATGGTTGGGGACACTAAGGCAAGACATGCAAAAGCGAATTGCCCAGGGCCACCCAAGATTGAAGGCAGCCACATGCATTCTTTCCACTGTCCCTGCAGGACCCCAGCCTCTGCCCCCCACACCCCCACAGCCCTAGCCCACTGCCCACATGGAAACACAGGGTGGCTGCTATAGGCTGAATGTCGGTCTCCTCCCCGGAATTCAGAAGTTGAAACCTAATCTCATGCAATGGTGTTTGGAAGCAGGGCCTTTGGGAGGTGGTTAGTCATGAGGGTGGAGCCCTCCTGAATTGGATTAGCGCCCTTATGAAAGAGACCCCAGAGAGCTCCTCACCCCTTTACCATGTGAGGACACTGGGAGAAGCCACCACCTACGAACCAGGAATCAAGTGCTCACCAGAAACCACATCCACCAGTGACTTGATCTGGAATGTCAGCTCCCAGAACTGTGAGAAACAAACTGCTGGTGTGTGTAAGTCACTGAGGCTTTAAGACTCTCTCGTAGCGGCCCAAATGGACCAAGGGAGTGGAGATGGGACTCCACCAACTCAGGCAAAGGACGGCTTTCCCATTTACAAGAGCCTCTCACTTCTTTCAAGAGAAACAAATTTCCATACCAAATAAGGTGGTGGACTTCAGAGCCTCTGCCCACTTCACACAATTCCTTTTAAGTGTCCAAACGCAATTAGGCTTGGAGCTTGCCTGCGTTCAGCCTCCCCCAGCCTCCCCCATGTAAACAAGCAGCCCAGCTGGGCCCCAGCTGGCTGCCCTGCAAGAGGAGGGTCACCACTCCGCCTGCTGTCTGCAGCCTGCCCAGCCTCTCTGTCCTCCTTGGCCACACCCAGGAGCCTCCAGCATCCCTGAACGCCCTCTCTCCACCCCCCCCCCAAAAAAAAAGACCCCATAAGGCCAGCTGGGCCTTTCCGGGAAACTCTGATCCCCTTTTCCACTCCAAGGTTTGCACATGGGCAGGCCCAGCAGGAAGCAGGAAGCCTGCAGGGCAGGTACAAGGAAAGCTTTATTTCTGGATTCTCTTCAAGATGTCCACAGAGCTGCATCGCCCCCCTTCAGGGCACCATTTTCTTCCACAGGGAAAGCTCAGAAATCCCTCGGGCTTTTCAGGCCGTGAGAAAGTTGGCCCAGGGCACGAGGGCCTTCCCTGGGTGGCTCCCTGCTCCTCACCATCCCCTCGTGGCTGGCCGTTGGCTCTTGCACCTCCTCTCACAACCCAAGCCTGGGCTCTGTGCCATGGCCTCTAACTTGGTCCAGGACCCCTTGGGCTCTGAGGAGGCTGACTCATCCTCCGGCCAAGTGGCGCTCCTCGCACCGGCACCATAGCCCGCCAGCTTCCCTGCTCAGCCCAGGCAAGGGCAGTGATTTTCCACTTGCACCATCTGATTGCTATTAGGGTTAGGGAAAAGGGGATTCCTGCTTCCATGAGCCCACAGGGGGCCCGGGGTAGATTCTGGGGTGGGAAGGGGGGGTGGAGTGTCACCTGGGTAGTGCTCCCCATCTTCGACAACTCTGCACCACCCCCCATGGCGCCTCATTCTCTGTCTCCTGGCTTCTCTGCATCAGCCTTTCCGTAAATCAAGACAACAAGTGGGGGTGGGGACCAGCCCCTCCAGGGCCTGCATGACTCGAAATGCCCACTGGGAGCAGACCAAACACGCCAGGGCAGTGGACAGGCGAGGCACCCTCTCCTGAGCAGCCTTGAGGAGCTGCAGGATGCGAGGGAGATTAACAGCTGGACTCGGGCCGCAGTGCTCGGGCCAACGTGATGTCGTGGCCAAGTGGAGAGATGAGTTCCCAGTGGGGCTCTGGGGGGGGCTCTTGAGCGGGGCATTCCTTCGAAGCCTCATCCCTGCTCAGCCCCTCCTCTGCCTCCCCTCCCCCTCCCCCTCCTGCCGGGCCTGGAATTGGGTTTGGGGCGGGTTCTGTTTCCAAAGCCATCTCCTCCGGCAGGCAGGCGAGGGCTGAGGGCTCTTCTTCCACTCTGAGCTCGCATTTTTCCGAGGCTCCAGGCAGTACTGGGTGCTGGCCTGCTGCCCTGGTGGGTCAACCGGCTGGAAGCGGGAGCCACAGAGGAGCCCTTCACACAGGGGAGGGCTCCCCCGATCGGG